CCCCCCCCTCTTTACCTCCCCTTAATGATTACAGCTTTCTTCCCCTAGCCACAGGTTTATTACAGACAGCAACATCGATACAGGTACGGTTCGCCAAAGGTTTGCAGGTCCTGGTCAAGGTCAAGGTTTCTTCAAGGCTGACTACGGTGACTGGAGTCAAGTCCGTCTAGACGGGCGGCGGCGTCCTGGGCGTCCAGGTACGCGTTGGCGGCGGCCTCCTCCGCGGCTACCTCGGCTTCCTCGGCCAGCTGGCGGGCGGCCCGGGCCTCTTCGTAGGCGGCCGCCAGCTCGTTGGCCTCATTGGTTTTCTGGAGCAGGTAGGCCGCCGCCGCGGCCTGCTCCGCCACGTACTCCTCCCTGGCGAGGGCCTCGCAAGAGGCGCATAGCTGGCGGATGGTGGGGCACCGGCGACACCCCCACGGGTTGCCTAGATACAAGGGGTCGGCCTGACCTGGGCTGTCCAGCACTGTAAACAATGGACATGTTAGTTTTCTCCTTGGCCCTGTACTGTACCTCGTTCTCTGGAGCTTACAGGCCTCCTCCTCGCTGATGCTACGCAAGACTCGCGGGGGCGTCGGCGCCGCGCCCGGGGCGAGGCCGGGTCCCGTCGGAGTGACGCTAGGCCCTGCCACGGCCCAGCGTCGGTCGGGGGTGGGGTGGAGCTGCGACGGGCCGACCTCGTCCTCGCTGGAGCTCTCCTCCGGCTGTTGTGCGGTGCCCCCCCCAGGGCTCGGGGGCCCCACGGCGGGACGCGCCGCTGCCACCAGCGCGTCGGTGGGGTTGGCCCACCCCCCGGTCGCCGGGTCCCAGATCTGGAGCAGCACGTGCCCCCGGTCGGCCCACACGCCTGGGCAGTCGTCTGCGAAAAGGATATGGTTAGCGCGGTTCACTGGCCGGTCTTCCTCGGTGTTTGGTACTCACTGTGGAACACCACGACGTTGCCGGACCGGAGGACGTGCCACATGGTGCTGAACATGGCGACACGAAGGGGTGGGCTGGCTGTTGAAGAGTGGCCGAGCTGGCCGCCGGCGCCGGCCTTTATGGTGCTGACCCCCACCACTGGCTGGGTTGGGAGGCTGCGTTCGGGTGTTGTTTACAATGACGTACAGGCGCGTGCTTTGGCAACTCTTTATTGATATGCTTCCTTGTTACAGATATTGCTGGGGCTACATGCGCATCCCCCGGCGGGGGACGGCGGCTGCAGTGTCTTCTTCCTCCCCCTCGGAGTCGAGTGGCCGAGCCTGCGGCCGCGCCGCCCGGCGCCGTCGCGGGCGCGGCGGGGGGGCGCGGGCCTCCTCCCCGCGGTTTTCGGTCTGGGACGCGCGGAGCGGCGACATTGCGGCTGTGGCGAGCAGGGCCCCCAGCCCGTCGAATGCCGCGGGCTCCAGCAAGTAGGTTTGGGGTAGCGCCCCTGGAGCGATGGCGCGGAAGACGCGCCCAGCTGCGGGAACGCCAAGATTAGCGTGGCTCTGGGGGTTCGGAAGGGGTGGGGCCAGGTTGCTTACCGATGGGCCCCTCCGGATCGCTGTCGTCATCAGCCGGCCGCCACGGTTCGTCCGGCCCGTCCCGCACCTCCAAGGGGTACCCCTCCCAGGTTTGGCCTGGGGCGTCGGGATCGCCACCTGTAACGACGGTTCATTTACGTTGGTACACACTCCCTTCCCCCCGCTCCCTGACGTCACTCACCTGGCGCCCTGGCCTCGGGGTTTCGGATGCGCCACTGTCGCTGCGACATGGTGTCTGCTGTGGCACTGTGGTGGTGGCCGGCGGGACTCGGCTCTTTATGCGGCCCGGGCCTCTCCTCCTC